TWRGRAAAARARTCTTTACTGWGAGAGTGGTGAGACACTGGATCAGGATGTCCAGGRAGGCTGTGGATGTTCCATCCCTGGAGGTGTTCRTGGTCAGGTTGGATGGAGCTTTGAAYGATCCTRTCTAATGGAAAGTGTCCYAGGCCACAGCAGAGGGGTTGAAATTGGATRATCTTTAAGGTCCCTTCCAACCCAAACCATTCTGTGATTCTATACTTCGGTTTTCTTCTATTTTGTAATAAGCAGYKAAGTTAAACCGGGCCATTGGCAGTMACAGCTTAGACTGTGTGTTSAATCAAACTGTGTTTGACAGGCACAACAGGCCATGGCACCTTTAACCAAGACACCTTTAGGAGCTTGGCTCTGCAACTGCTGCAGCCAGACCACAGCAGCTGCAATTTGTGACCCAGTGCTGAAATGAAGACCAGCAACAGAGGCTGGAGCTGTGGCAAAGGAGAGTGGGACCTTTTAAAATTATTTGGGAAAGCTGGTGGACATCAGATTGTGACAGACCTAATTACCAATACTTTAACAGGAATTTAGCCTGTCCTAAATAAAAAAGAACTCCTAGTGAAATGCAGGTGTGACCCATCTGCTGCAGTGACCTGAGATTTCCACAAAAAAAAAAGAGTTCTAAAAATGCCTTCATTTCTTTATGGAAAGCAGAGTGACAAAAAAAAWTCATTCCACTCCGTGTATAATAACCTCTAAGATGTGGGTTGATGGGTTTATTAACAAGCTAAAATAAATGCAGCTCTGTGGGTAAAATGAACATCTGGAGAGAGAAGACCACAAGCCATGGTCCCTGGCCAGATCACCAGTCTTGCTTCTCTGTGCTTGTTCCCTYCCCCATCTCCAGGAGGTGTCACCTGGGGTCACCTCCTCAGCTTCGCTATCTGATTGCTCATACTGGGAGCACTCTCCTTACAYAGATAAAAGAAAACAGCACAGCTCTTCAAAATATTCCCATGAAAAYCTCCATTAGTAGAAAACCATGCAAAGAGTTTATAGTCAAGTCAAATAAAACTAACATCATGACCCAGTGATGCTCTGGTTTTCTACAGCAAAGAAGMAAAATAAGCCTAATGGAAAGAAATCAGACTTAGACAAAGCAAAATAACAGCCCAGAAAAAGCTTTGCTGATCAGGTCCTGCTCCCAAACCCAGGTAAATAACAGCCTACATGAGTTCCTGTGTCCAGAGGAGAAACCAGCATTTCATGAATTCATATAAGCAGCAAATGAAATAAATATTGCTCAGTCTCAAGTGCCRGAGGCCCAGCACACATGGTCTGTTTTCAGGCTTTGTAAACAGCAGCAGCCAATGCAGCCTAAAAACCCCAGTGTGTTCAGTGATCACATCATCCTACAGTTCAGATTTCTTTTGAAAGGTGGATGCACATAATGCTCTCTTTTCTAGCCTTGCTCAGTTCCAGTAGAAAATATTACACTAGTTCTGCTGAAAAGGCACAGAATTAGACCAGCACTGCATCTTTTGACAAGCAGCACTTTCCATCTCTTCAGCAGCCAAATTTTGGCCAGAGCTGAGAGGCCACAGGCAGGAGAGTCAGGAAAACTGTCCCAGCAGCCTTTATTTGCATGTGCCTGGTACCTCTGGTCCCATGTATTTCATAAAGAGGAATAATTAAAAAATAGGTTGATGATTGAAGAACTTCTTGTACAGCAAAAAGCATCCCGGTAGGAGATCCCATCCCCCAGGAGAGAAAAACAGGAGARAAACTGTAAAGTATCAAGATTTTATTGTTTTATATATATACTTATAATTCTTAAATGAGACAGTATTTTTTAAAACAGCAGCAAGCAGAACGTACAAGTTGAGAAAAGTGGCAGCGCAGGTAACTCTGTTTGGCTAATGCCCGTTCATGTACAAGGCGTACATTGGATTTTTTATTTTTTTGAGCACCTTTTGTGGTTTATATTTTTTCTTGGTTTATGTGTACAGTAAGGCAGTGGTTTTTTCAATAAGGAATATATATATATATATATTTATATTTATATATATTTTCAGTCATCACCGTGAATTTGTACATGCAAATTAAATAAAATGTACAACTCGGAAATGTTACACCGGGAGACGTTTTTTCCTCAGAGCAAAGCTTCTAATAAAAGGCAAATACGGACACCACAAAGTTATAAAAGAGAAGGAAGGCATAGGAAACCAAGCGTCAGGCGCTACTGACAGGACAGCTCGAGCAGGGAAGGTCGGGATTCCAGTGAAGATTCCTCCTGCTGGTGGCAAGGCAGGAAGGAAGAGATGGTTATTAACAGATGTCTCCAGCCAACTCCCTCGGCAAGGTTCACTCTAACCTGAGAAGCTCCACATCGAAGAGGAGCGTGGCRTTGGGAGGGATGACCCCAGGGTGGCCGGTGGCTCCATAGGCCATCTCAGGTGTGCAGGTCAGCTTTGCTCTTTGTCCTAAGCTCATCTGGGTTTTGGATGTTGGAGAAAGGAAAAGAGAAAACAAAAAAAGAAATAGGATTAGGAGGAAAATGAACAAACAAAAAAAYCATTACCTGGCAGGTTTGCAGAATCAATGAGTGTTGGGATCATCAGATTCATAGAATTGTTTAGTTTGGAAAAGACCTTTAAGGTTAYYGAGTCTGGGGGTSGRAAGAARWYGATCTTTAAGGTCTCTTCCAGCCTAAGCCACTCTATGATTCTGAGTCCAAGTGGTCTTGCTTCAAGCTGAAGCTGCCACTAGCAGCTCTCCTGAC